ATATATATATGTATTTTTCAAAGATACAATGCAGTGCAGAGCGCTTCGCATAAGTTACATTTACATATAGAAAGGCACTGTTAGTGCTAATTGTGTCCTTTTACGTAATAGATAAAGGTCTTCTTATATTAATGATTCTTGCCTTCTGAAATTGTAAACGATGTCGATACGATCAGATCATATTTAAAGTACACAAAAATTCCATTCGGAAATGCAAATCTGAGGCATCGGAGTGCTCTTTTTCTACAGTGCACGTGACATATGCTATAATATAAGAGCACTCCGATGTCTCAGATTTGCATTTAATTACGAACGCAGCTAAAAGATAGTTTTGTCGCGTCGCATGCTCCAACATGCTCCTGCCATAGTTCCTACTTACTCTAATAAGCGCATTGAAATGGGAGCTATGATAGGAGCATATTGGAGCATATTGGAACATGTTAGAACATGTGACGCGACAAACCTGATGATATAATGCCCGCGAAAATGGCGAAGCCCGTCCAGAAACCGCGCGTCTGCGTTACGTTACGTACGCATCGTCACGCATGAATATGCGTCAGGACGAACAGATAAGTCGTTCAAAACTGTGGGACAGTTGTATGTTTTAAGTTTATCAAAGCACAGTCTAACAATAAATCAGTAATACTTTCCAAAATATACAAGCCGAATACAAAATATAATACCCGAGACGAGATGCATCCACCGCGAACGATTGATTCTTCAGAACTCACGAAAGTAGAATGATGCAAATAATACTAATAGTGTCTGATAACGTTTCCTATGCAACCATATATATATATAAAATATGTGTGTATGTGTGTGTGCGTGTGTATATATGTTATTCAATAGGATCTAAGAAATGTTCTGCATTGCATAGATAGTGACAAGGTGTTCGATAAGTTTTGATGAAAAGCGTTCGAATGCAGCGAATTAAACTGAACAAGAAAATCCATGTATATCCCCCTGATTATGTTTTTTATATAAAAGGGCTAGTATTTTTTTTATAAGAGTTCAATCGTTTTAGAAAGCTCTTTTAGAGAGTGCCCTTTGAAGAAAATCGATTTTTTAAATATTTTTTTCAAATTTTATAGACTCTCATTCTATAGAAAATAAAGAATGAAAAATCTTTAAAATCTTAAAATACCTTAAAATATCTTAAATAAATGAGTTATGGAAAAATGTGTAAACTTTCTTGACACTTCTGAAAAGTGTTCCAATGTATACAAAGTCAGAAATTCTGAACAATTCTGAGGAAAATTTTTACTAAGAATGTATCTTTTATATTTATTCTAATATTATTTATGTTAATATATAATATATTAAATATCGTACCATTGACGTTATCTAAAAAAAAAAATCAATTATTATTTTTAAATAATTACGTAATTGTTATGTGAATTGTATTAAACTGTTGATTATTTATATTATACTGTATGTTATATAGGATCTTTTTTTGGCTAAACTAGTGTACATTTTTGAACTTAAAATGAGATAAGTATATTTTTAATATTTGGCGAAAACAAGAAAGAGAATTCTAGTGCAGTTTAATGCAGAAATAACCGACCTATAAATTATTGTGAAGCACATGATCGCATGATCGAAATTTTTCTGCGATAACAGAATCTTTAGGGCTGCTGCACACATTTTCAGAAACTTATACCGTAAGAATTAGCCAATCAAGAATCAGTCAAGAATCAAAAACGTGTTGCTCTGATTTGCTAATTCTCAGAGTATATTCACATAAACTTGTTGCATAGCTGTATAAACATGCGCATAAAGAAAATTATTCAATTGCATTTTTATGATTAGTTTCCACTGAGAGTTTAAATGATTTTATGATTAGTGGCGTAGTTTCCACCGAGAGTTTGGAATGTAAGAACCATCAGAATGTAAGAACCAACTACAGTTGTGTATTCCTTTGTTACAGTCGAACAACAGGAGAATGCACGACTGTAATTGGATGTAATTCCTCGGTGAAAACTAGACCACTGTTGTGAAAAGTGTGTGCAAATCCCCTTATGTCCAATGTCAGAAATCGATACGAGATCTCGAATGGAAAGAAAGTGTACCAATCACAAATCGATTGATCGAATTGTTAAAGTGCGATTGGCCAATTCTCTTCGTCCGAGATCTGGGATCGATTTCGAACATCGTGAATACAAGGCTTAGAATTTTTGTTTTTTGTGACTTTTCAAATATATTCTCAAAAATCAGTTTAGCATCTATGCTATTTGTAAAAAAATTATTCCAATCATTATATTATTTTATATATATATATATATATATATTACGTTAAATATAAATGTAAATTTCTTCATAATTAGCCTGAAATATACATGGAAAATCAATCAAAAATTGTCTGAGCAATGTTTAAGCTGTTATACAATGCATAGATGTTTTCTGATTGATTATCGGCGATTATACTTTCAATATTTGACAATTTTTGATTGGTGAAAAATTTACTGAGCAACAAAATACGAATATTTCTTTTTTATTATATCATTGGAGAAATAATATCGAATATTAATTAATTGATAACTTTTAGACATAACTTGATGAAGTTGACGTTGTATTTTATTTATATCACAGCCAAAGTTAACTCAATAAATGTATGCACTTACTATAGTTAATGTACATTTACTATAATAAATATTTTAAATACAAATGTACATACATTGAGTAACAATAAATAAATGTGTACTTAAGCTTACACTTTGACTGTGACATAAATACATTCAAGGAAAAGTTGAAGGATAAAATTTCCTCTCAAAAAAACATTGATGAAGTTTGAGTCATTATGTGTTTTTTTTTTATCTTTGTTCTAATGATATAAATGAAAAGTAATAACAATAAAATAAAAGAAATTAAATTTAAAGAACCTCAGTTTAAAACTAGTCAAGGTCAATTAAAAAAATTTTGATTCGAGTTTCGTATTCATTCGATAACATAGTATTCAATATGTTGAATTAAAAAAAATTTTTAGTCTTCAATATGTGAATTAAAAAAAATTTTTTAGAACTTTTAATGCATAAGTAAAAAAATTAATACATTATATATAAAAAATTGATTTATGAAACATGTTCACATATGTAATAATTAATTTTGTATAAAGAAAATAATTTTTAATAAATATATCAATATAAAAAAAAATCGTTTATCTTCTTTATAAATTTTTATGAAAATGACAGAGTAATTACTTAACAAAATAATTAACGTAAATGTTGATGTTTTAATAAAAAGATATACAGAGGACAAAATAAATTAATTGATCATTCTGCGAGAAAGGTGACTTCGAATCTTTTAAATAAAGCTACTCGCAACAGCGCATGTAAAAAAAAAGGACCCTTATATATTTATCTATATTTACATTTGCTTATAATGTACATTTTATAATGCTACGTACATCAGTCAACGATTTTTTGATTTAAACGATTTACTTTTTATTCATCTATCGTCTTCTAGAAACGTCGTAATTGTTATACAGTATCTCTCATGTCTTTGTATTTTGATAGAACTAAATAACGGGGCAGCATAAATGTTCTCAGACAAAGAGACAGGTCAATCGGTGTAAAATCCAAGCGAATGTTATATTATTCCAACAATCGCTAGTCATGAATGTTATCATGCTCAACAATACATATGGACGATATTTATGTAAACGATGATCGATGATAACAGCGATGATCGGCGAGATGCCGTCATTCACATCGCCGTAACATTGGTAGCGGCAGTAAACGCTAAGTAATAATATCACAGTGTGGGTTTCTCGTCCGCGGGTTCCTCTTTTATAGGATGGCTGCATTCCATTAGCGCAGGATTCGCCACGGCGATTATGTTGTCTCCACGCGAGGCTATCACCTACACATAATTCATGTGTGAGCCATTAACAGCCGTACAGTAAAATTCCGTGGCAACATCTATCGCCGTTTTTTTTTTGCTATTCTAAAGAAGCATGCATTATGCAGGAACTGCAAAAAAGGAAAGGACAGCGCAACAGATTAAAAAAAAAACTTATGCGTCATATTTAGCAGTTTTTGCAAACAGTTCTTTTGATGTTCAAGCAAGGATGACGAATGATGAAAGATGAAGATACAACGAAGACCTTGGATCTATTCGTCACTCACCTTTAGATTGAAATCGCTTTCTTTGTCGGTGTTCTCAGCCTCCGCCTCGTTTGTGTCCTGAAAAATATGCATATTATATCGCTGTTCAATTCTGTGCCAGAATTTAAAAGCACAGATATATATATATAGATTGTTTTCCTAATATTACACACATACATGCATAGACGAAGATTCCTCGTTAGAAAAGGAAAATTGGCTATCCGAGTCACTAATTTCTTCCACGCTAGCGCTGAATATACCGTTATTATTCTTCTTCCTCCAGACTGGACTGAAACATTGCGAATATCTGAACATCAATTGGCGCTATTTTATTTACGTAATTATAAATACATAATTATAAGAAAAGAAAGATACAACTCTCTAAATTCGAGAATGTTATAAGTTACATTCTAAAGAGTAATTTTTAATTATTAGTACATAAAAAAGTGAATTTAAAATTTCAAAACAAGCAAAAAACGTGATATAGATGAATCAATTAGAATATATATTTTTCAAATTAAAATAAATTAAAAAAAATATTTAAATGAAAAGCATACTTTTCTCGACCATTTTAATTTATTATTTATACACATATTAATTTATTATATAATAATATAGATCTTAATATATTTTAATTTTTGTTGACTAAAAAGAGTAATATCTACATATATTACTTGTTTATATTTCTTTTCTTGTTAATTTCTTGTTAGTTAAAAATTAAAATCTTTAATACTTTGGAAAAAAAATATTAAAAAAAAAAATATATTAATACTTCAAAATTAAGGATAATCACCTCGACGACCTATGTCTTCTCGTAATAGAATTGTTAATATCCGTTCCAGAACAGCGTAGATCTAACTCCTCCTGGAACAGTGAACTGCTACAGACAGTAGAAGTAACAAATTTGGATGTATGAAAGAAAAAGAGGAAAATAACAGAAGGAAGGTATAGAAATGAGACATGTGAGAGAGGCACGATCAAATGCGAACAAATAAATACGACTTGGGATACCAGGCGCAGAGCATAGAGTCCAAGCAAGTCGTATCGAATGATTCAATCTTCGAAACGACTGATTTTTGCAATCAAATTTAACATATAATACAAAAAGAATTTCCACGTTATTTTTCCATGAAAAATTCCATATGTGTTCTAATTTCGAATATCTATTCAACATGCAAATTGAAGATTTAGTGAAAATTCATGCAATATAAGCAAAAGAAACCATGATCAAAGTTAAAATTTAAAATAATTTATAGAAGATTTATAGAATTATCAAGTAACTCTCAGAAATGAAAGAAGAAAAAAATAGCTGTAATATCTAAACTCTGTTAATCCTTCGTGATCACTGAGAATCCAAAAGACTCCAAAAAGGTATGAGCCTTTATATTTCTAAGGTCTCTCTTTAAAACTTAAATTCATTTATCTGAAAACTACTTTTTCTTTTTGCGCCTAGAAGCCGGACATTGTTTCTTGGACGTCACTATTTGCAATTTTTTTTTAATATGTTAAAATTAAAAACTTTAAAAAGTTTCTCGTTAACGTTAAAAAGTCTCTGCATTTCTTTCTCTTTCCATATTCTACAATGTTTAAAGTATGTTCAGTAATTTTTCAGTGATTTTAAAGAACAAAAACTACAAATACGATAATCAATTGAAATATTGGGCTCATTTTGCCCCTTGTGTAACCAATATAAAATTCTTGGGAGATGTGACCACGAAGGATTAAAAAAAAGATTTTAAGATATTAATAATTTGCATGCTCATGCTGCTAAATAGAAGCGAATTTTCACAAATTAAATTTAGAAAACATAAATAAACAACAATAATTAAATAGAACGTATTTTATGATGCAATTTAAAATAGAGATTAAAATGAAAAAATTAAATTAAAAATTCTTTTTTACCAAGATATCAAAAGTTAAAACTTGAAGTGATTAGAAAGACAGGAAATTATTTTAAGTTTTAAAACTGATATAATATGTCTGATATTAAAAATTCAAAAAATTATGAAAAAGATGATTGAAAGATGACATTTTATTATATTTGCGATAAGAATGAAAAATACAGATTGGCTAAAAATATTCAAGTTAAAAAAATATTCTAAACAAACGAATGTTATTTGTTATCATTTTGATGTCATTTTGATTAAAGGCAACACGTCAAAATGACGTCAAAATGATGTCAAAATGACGACAAATAATAATCAGTTTGTTTGCTGGAGCGTTATTGAAACAAATCTGTACATTGCTATTAATTTTGACAAGATTCGATGTATATAAACTTTGTTCTCATCATAATCTTTGATTATTATTTACACATAACGCGAACAAGTAATTCATATATTGATTATAATCGTTATTTAGTGACATAAACCAAATTTATCGATATGTTTATATACACATTGATTTTGGCTTTAGAGATAACGTAAATATAATTAAGTCTCTATAATATAAGATTAACGACAAAGTGTCTTAGTACATGCCATAGTTGCAAATTACGAAGGAAAAATTCAAGCAGATCTCTATTGCAATCAACGAACAAGTCACCCGATCTTGAATCAATCAAGTGGAAAAAGCGCAAGCCATGCACGTGCTTTTGTAACTATACTTGACCTTTTTCACATCCATTCTGTTTCGCGCGTCTAAGTTAGTACGGGTGGTTAATGCGTGGCGATCTCTACGCGACGAGCGTACGGTTAATGATTAGCGGCCATGCGAGTGCGGCAGGTCACAGTGCACAGGGAACGATCTATTTCTGTGGATGAGATGATCTAACCTGCGTCGCGTCCTCACCCTCACCCTCACCCTCCAACTCGAGTTTTTGACGTTTCGAGCCATCGGTTTCCTCCCCATTCTCACGCGGCCTCGACATTGATAAGCTGTAATAACATCGAATGATTAAATAAATACATTTATATAGATTGAATCACATCCTCAGTCAAATTGAAAGTAGATTTCCCAAATTAGAAATTTTCAGCGGGATACTAATAAGAATGTAATAGAATAATTAATAGTGTATGATGTAGAATTGAGTAGAATCTGCCACTTCGCAACTATTGAAATAATATTATACATACCACTTAAATAGTTAGATAAAAATAATTAAAACATAATAAAGTCCATTTCTGCTAATAATCTTCCGAATTGGCAGACTTAACAGAATAGCTTGATGCGAACACAATTGATATAAATTCGCCACGATACTTATTCTGCTAGCATATTTTGATTATTGAGTTATTCAAGAATTCAAAAAGATATGATTGATTTTGCTAATTCAATTAACACTAATAATATTTTAATCTACCAAGATTCTCTAAGGTAATTTTGGATCACCTCTGAAATTAGGATCAGAATAATTCTGAATTTTAAATTCTCGAATTCGCAGATTCTATAAAAGTATAAGTTTACTTACTATTGGCTTTTGGAGTAATGGTAACCGGAATCACGAACGACACGACGCGCTAAAGGGAATAGTTCATCTCTCCTAGTGAGGAGGGCAGGCACGAATCTGCAGATTTGCGCCGCGGCTTCGTTCACCGACACCTCATGCAACGTCAAAGGCTTTTCCGGCTTTCTCTTGCAATCGAATCTTCCGTAAATCGCCGCGTACTTTCGGATTTCGTCCATTTTGCGCGGATCACTATCGGACATCGTCATTACCACCTGTAAAATGAAAATGCATTTTTTTTTAAATATTTCATTGTACGCGCTAGAATTTGTGAATTAAATTAAAAGCTGGGTCATCGCCGAACGTAACAATCTCATTAAGCGATCGTGTTTGAAACAGATGTTAAATTTTCCACGGATGTAGCATCTAGCGATTAAAAACGAGCGTGCCTGCCGGTCGAAATTAACAAATCACCTCTAACTTCTTGCAGAGTTTTTTCTTCACGTTGTGAGGTTTGGGATCGAGGGGCCTTATGGTAGCGACGAGTCTCTCCGCAGCCTCGGCGAGTCGCTGCACCTGTGATTGCAGGAGGGTCGGCGTTGGCTGCGTCGGACTCGCAGGTGCACCACCGCCGCCACCACCACTTGGACTTGGCGTGGTTCCGCTGCCACACGAAGACTCGCACGTTCCTACCTACAGAACAAAAATGAGCAATGAAGCATGAATGAGCATGAAGCGCGTAAAAATAACACGAAAACGAACATTCATCAGAAAGCCCAGGTGCTTATACAATTATTTACGTAATATATAATTCAATAAAAATATCTAAAGCCCGATTCTACAAATGTAAGAGTCATCTCGATTTTAACTTATTATTTATCTTTTTCTAGAATTTTTCTTAGAATTCAAAAAATAAATAAATAGTAAGTCAAACCGAGATTAAAGTTAACTTTTATATTTATGGAACCGAGTCTAAAAAATGTTCAAATACTCATAACTTAATTTCTTAAACATTTAGCTATAATATTATTTACAAATTAAGGAAAGACATATACCCAGACAAGAAGATTCCTTGTACAAATTTTTTCTTAATTCAAACAAGATTTTGATCAATTCACGAAGATATACGTGAGTGTTGCAGTATCTACTGTAATAGTTGCTGACACTGAAAGTGTATGTATAAAAGAGAAAATTATTACGATCCGTCCATTTTATGTCGATGTAAAACATAGTTGGAACATAAGTTGGAGAAGCAAAAATCGAAAACTTCAGCACAATCGCTCAATAGTTTCTTGCACATTAATCAAGGAGACGATTTCCCTCCGATTTCATCGACCTCGATCGAACGGTGAATCTTACCTGTAACACATTGGGGCTATGAGTAGTCGTGTAAGGTAAGGACGTGTTCGGACTCGGGCTCTGGCGGAAGGTCGTGGAGGACGCCGATGCCGACACACTGGTGACCGGCACGACCGGGCTGGCGCTTCGACAGGGCAGGGGTGTCAGCGGCATGTGGGGCGTTGTCGACACGTAGGACGTCGGTGTCAGGGAGGTCTGGGAGGTC